CCTGTTTCTCGAGCTTTTGTAGCTGCGTCTCCAGACACTCCTGGGGCCCATGTCGCGGCGCGGCCCGTGTTTTCTTGTACACGCTTGATGGTTTCAGGTCTTCATCCACGTCTCAGGCCCATTTTGAATTAATTTCTGAGTAGCCACAGGTTTAAATGTATGTCTCGCTGGGTGCCGCTCTTGCCAAGATCCCAGCCACCATCCCTTCTGCATGAATGTGCTCTGCACCGATTAACACATTCAGACAGCAAACAGGAATAATATCAGGCACACTAAGCAACCGAGTGAATCGCACAAAGCTTACTGGAGTCAGCAACTCTGCAAGGAGGCTGCAGAAATGCCCCAGAATAGGCGCCAGCAGGCAGGCAACTGGCCAAGGGCTTTGTTGGCTCCTTAGGGTTGAGCCAGGCTATGGCGCCGTTGCCGTCACTGTGTGCCCTCCGCCTGGGGAAGCGCCGGCATCCCCACCTGTCTGGATCACATGGCCCCACTCCCCGTCGGCATCGGCCCCACTCCCGTCGGCATCGTGCCACTGTGGAAGTGGGGGCTGTGCTGGGGGCGCAGAGAAGACTGGAAGAGCCTGATCCAAAGTGCATGTAGGGGCCCCCTGGGGGCGCCGCACGTCAAGGAGCAGCACTATGAAGTTATTTCTCGCGGCCACTTCTCACGTGGGACCCCGGCCAGGGAGGGACCCACACGGCTGCTCCCCTCCACACTGTACCTCATCAGTCTGCCCGTTCTGCTCCCCAACTGACTTCGGTGAATCCTCTCACCTGCCTGCACCCCTGGCCTGCACCCCAGTTCTGTATACATAACTAAGCCTTTAACACAAAACAAAAACAAACAAAACCAAAGGGAATGGAGGGAAATGTCCGGAGCCGAAGGCAGCCATCCCCGTCCTGGCTGCCTTCACAACCCCTGGAGAGTGGCCTTGGGTCCTTCCGCAGGGAACCCCAACCTGGGATTCTCAGGGTGTTGCAATCGCTCCCCAATTCCTCACGTCCACCAAGGACAGAGCACACATGGAATACATAACGTACCCCCAATCTGGAGGAGCCGGTGTGTGGACTCCTCACGTGGTTCGAAATGCGCTTTGGTGGTGACCGGCGTTTGCCTGGGCAGCGACCGCGGGCTCCCGTCTGCTCTCCCCGGGTCTGGAAGGGGAGGGGGGCAGCGATGGCCACACGGCCATTCCTCAGAGACTCTCTGTCATATGAGGAGAGCTGAGTGCTTGTTCGGAAACCATACACCGAGGGGACAGTCAGCTCCAGGGGTCCTTGAGCAGCCCCTCCGTGAAGCAGGGGGACACCATGAATCCGGGGTGCCGATCCTGGTGACGTGGCGCCGTCTGGGAGCGCAAGTGTCTGCTGTGTCCCGTTTCGCTCCCTGCACGGAGGGCTAGACTGGGAGGTTAGCGGAAGCTGCCCCGCTGTGTGGAGCACAGACACAAGCCCCTTGGGCACTGTGTAAGGACGAAGGACACGAGGTGCTCCGGGGAGTGGACAGAGTTGTGGCCTCCCTGGCCGGTGTCCAGCAGAGACCTAGCCCCAGACAGAGGCAGCCACACTGGGTGCCTCTGGCTTCCCGGGGCAGAGAGAGGTCAAGGGGTCACTGTGGCTCCCAGGAGAGGGCGTGTGCCGAGTGGAGGGTGAGGCTGCCCTTGGGGAGCAGAGCCCCGGGGAGCTGCCCCTGCACAATGCCGGCCTCTCCTGTCCCAGGTCTGTCACAGACTGGCCAGAGGACGGTGTCAGCGCTGTGCTCCTGCTTCTCCACACAGGCGACCACCACGCGCCTCCTGCGTAGCCCCGCTCCAGGGTGGCGGGCTAATATATTCAGCGCAAAGACTACGTCTGTGCCGGACTCGGAGGCTGCTGATGCTCTGTGTGTCATACTGGCAGTTGGCGTTCTGGAGACGGGGTGCGGCCTCCTGGGGAGCTTGTAACCCGGCCGCCCTAATGTGTGGGCACTGGAGAGCGGCCCCTGGGGCCACCTGGGTGGCTTTCCTCCACCTTCACACTGTGGCAGGCAAAGGGGACCCTAGTCCCCCTGTCCCTCTCAGCCACACAGGCAGAGCCCCCTGGAGCCTTGCACTGTCTGATGTCATGGGGACCAGACACACATGCGGTTCCGTGACGCGTCATGAAATATTTTAAGCCTCTGCATGGATGCCACCTGCCACTGGCATAAAGGACAGCCCCCCCCCCCCCGCTGGGCCAGAGTCACTCTGCCTGGTCTACCAGGCCCTGCACTGGGCATCAGACATGGGGCCCAGAGGCAGCCCAGGCAGGGTCAGAGCTCTAGAGAAATGGGGAGCAGTGAGCAGGGCCAGGCCCAGCCCTCCCACCAGAATAAAAGCCCAGAACAGCAGAGACCATTCCCAGGGAACAGGGCAGGAGGCAGGAGAAGCCCTTTTCTAGAATCTGGCCATTCTGGGCTGCAGAGGGAAAGAACAGACGCTCTCAAACTCAGTCCCTCCGGCTGCTTTATGAGAATCTCAGACTTGCTGCGTCCAGATTGAATAAGGTAACAAAAAAGAGCTGAGTTTGCAGGTAGTTTATTGAAATGAAAATGTATTTGAGGTTTCAACAATGGTCTTGTGGGTTAGCGATTCTGAGACAAGAGGAATGAGAAGCTGGGCTGAGCCCGGGGCGCCGAGTCGTGTCGCGGTGCTGGTCGGGTCCCGGGAGGCTAGTTCAGCATGCACTGGATAGAACTGTACACGGTGTTCTGGAAGACACAGC